TAAGTGCTATTGAAAAGGCAGCTAGAGTTATTTGAATATGTGTAATTTTATAATTTAATTGATAATGAACAATTAAAAATTCAAAGCTTGATCATAGTTCTCTAGGTCCCTGTGGGATATAATTACTAGAGATCTTCTCCCCAGTTGCCCACAGACCTGGGCTCTTCCTTAGGCCCTGAACATTCTTTCCTTTTTCAAATAAGCGGCCATGATTCAAACCACTAATATACAGTGGAACACTCTCCTCAGGTTTCTGCTTCTTTACGCCTCACATAAAAATATAAGGTCCTGATTCTTCACCAAATCTCACAGCTCAAGACCCAAGCTTCAAGTATGCCATGCCTTCTCCAAGATGCCATGCCTTTAGTGCCTAGACCAACATTTTTGTACATTAAAAAATTCATTATTTTAACATACAATTTTACTTAAACATCCCCCATCTTGGTACAACTCTCAACTGCTCCTTCCCAAATAAAACTGCCAAATTCTCCTAGCCACAGGACATCTTCTAAAGACGTCATCCATACATCGTTCCTTCCTCCCATCTTCTCTGAAATCCACTCTGTTCACATGGCCCATCATGAGTAAAATGTTACCCACTGCCCTTATATCAAATCTTTTCAAGTCCACAATAATTGACAAGGAACCCATGTCAGCCAAAAGCATCATGCAGTCTCCTGGGTGACCTCTCAGCTCAATAGCTGCAGTATTCTGTACAGAACCTTTCTTCAGTCTGTGGCTTGGTCCCATTGCTCTTCTCTGATATTTTGACTGGGGTAATATCTTTAATTCTCAAATCTTAAATTAATTGTTATCACATATTTGAATCTGACAATGGTAGTTCAGCTTTGTTTAACTTAAAAAGTTCTTCCTATCGAATTCTGTGTCAAAATATCCATCGCATGTTCAAGCCAGAAATCTGCAAATCATCCTGCTTCCTCTGTCCTCATCACATTTCCTCTAGATATGGAATCCGCAGAAGGGTCTCTGTGTTCTACTTCCAAAATCTTGTCTCTACTTCTGCATCTCTATTTTCACTGTCCTCTTTCATCTTGATTTTGTGACTGTTTTAGCAGCTCTCATTTCCCCCCTCTACCTCAGTCCTGTCTCATGCTATCTCAAAGCAACAACAATAATCTTACAACATACATAAAGTAATCTGACCCCTGTCTTATGAATCCTCCTGCAGATTCCTCTTTCTAAAATAAATACAAGACCCTTTCATGTCCCACAAGCTGATAGTGGTCAGACACTAGCTCTGATCCAGTTCTATAACCCTTTCACACGTTTCCAAGTCTCTTCCAGTGGCACTGAACTTTGAAATTCTCATATAAAGTGTGTCTCTTTCCCATCATGCTCTCTGCACATTCCCTTTCATCTGCTAGAAACATTTTCCTTCCAAATTTATCTTTGGCTCTCATTTTTCAAGATTCTCAGAGAAGATCTTCATGTCACCCATCACATAAGGTTTAAATCTTAAATAATCCCCAAGGGCCTATGTCTTCGGGGCTTATGTCTCTAAGCTTTGATGCTGGTGGGAGAGGGTGAAACCTTTAGGAGGTGGGATTCAGTAGAAAGAAGTTAGGCCATTGGGCTATGTCCTTAACACACCACTTCCTCATTCTCATTTTGTTTCCCAGTCTTCAAAGCAGTGAACAGCCTCTTTGACCATATGCCCCTGCCGTGATATATACAGATAAAAGTGAGTGGGCTAAATAACTGTGGACTAGAAACCCCCTAAGGAAGTCTTTCCTCTAAATAAGTTGATTTCCTCAGGTATTTTGCCCTGCCCCGTGAAAAGATGACTAGCACACCATACGTTGTATTCTGAGCCTCACCATATTTACTTCATGCTTTGAACTTATCAAGGTCTATAGTTTCTTCAGTTATTTGTTCAGTAACAATATATTGTCCATTTTCACAGCAGTGTGTACACTCCATGGAAACCGTGAACATAGAAGGGTTGCTTACTCTTGTATTTCCAGTACCAAGAACCACAAAGGACAGACTGAGATGCTTTGACTAATATGTATCTTCTGAGAGATCCAGGCCCCAACCCAACATGCAGTAGACCAGCTGTCTTTAGTTGCTTTCTATTGCTGTGAGAAAGACCATGGCCTAAAACAATTTAGGAGAAAAGGATTTGTTTAGTTACATGTCCTAATCTCAGTTAATTAATGAGGAAATCTAAAGTGGGAACTCAAACAGGGTAGCAACCTAGAGGCAGGAACTGAAGCAGAGGCCATGGAGAAATGCTGTTAACTGGCTTGCTGGTCTACCTTTTAGACTTTGAAGTTGCCAGTTCTCACAATCAAATGACCCAGTTACTTAAAATAAATCTGCTTCAGATAATAAATATTCTATTACAAATAATAATAATTATTCCAGTGGTTAAGTTACTTTAGAGAACATAATTAAGAAAAATTGTGTGCTTAATATTCATAAAACTACACTTCTGGGCCTGTGAGATGGCTCAGCAGGTGAAAACACTTGCCAGCCTGGAAAGAGCTTAATCCCAGGACTCACCTTCAAATTCTCCTCTGACCTCTACAATTGGACTTTGGGACACAAGTTTCCTTCCCACAAATAAATAAATAAATAAATAAATAAATACATACATACATACATACATACATACATACATACATAAGTAAGTAAATGTGAAAGTGACTGTGCTGGAGAGATAGTTCAATGAACTATGCAAGTACACACTGTCCTTTAGACCTAAGCTCTAGTCCCAGAACCCATATCAGGAAATTCCACACTGACTGTAGCACCAGCTTCAGGGACATCTAGTGTCTCTGACCTCTGGTCTACATGGGCACTTACATTCACATGCACATAGACACACACACACACACACACACACACACACACACACACACACACGACACACACATGTACACAAAATTAAAAAATAATAAATAGATTAATGTACTAGTTAAGAGTTACTATTGCTTTGGTGAAATACCATGGCCAAAAGCAAGTTGAGGAGGAAAGGGTTCATTTTGACTCCACTTCTACATTACTGTTCATCATCAAAGAAAATCAGGGCAAGAATGCAGGGCCAGAACCTGGATGGAGGCAGGGGCTGGCGCAGAGGCCATGGAAGAGTGCTACTTTCTGGCTTGTTCATTACTAAAGTTTGCTCAGCCTGCTTTCTTATAGATCCCCAGAATACCACCCCAGGGTGACACCACTCACAGTGAGTTGGGTCCTCCCATATTGATCACTAATTAAGAAAATGCCTTACAGGCTTGCCTATAGGCCAATCTAATGGAGACATTTTCTCAGTTGTGGCTCCCTCCTCTCAGAACACTGTAGCTTGTGTCAAGTTGACATAAAACCTAGCCAGGTCACTGAATAAAATAAACAAACAAAAAAGACCAACAAACAACAACAAAACGCAGTCATGAAAGTGAAATGATAAGAAGGTATCTGATTATAAACCACACTGAATAGACATGTTCTTCTGCAGGAAGAGTCATTAGTGTAAATGAATACTCATTGGATTTGTCAGTGCATTAATGAGTGCCCTCAGGTAGGAAAATTAAATTTAAACTATTTTTGCTCAATACTCCCTATATGCAAAATGCTGTGCCCAATGGTTCAAAGAAATAAAAATGAACAGAAGGACCTTAAATCTGATCCTAAAGTGGTTGGTTATTCCCATGACATTACTGTTGCATCAGTGAGCTTATCTTGTTAGTTAGGTTAGTTATTATTGTAGCTCACAGGGTTCATGGTTTGGTAAGATTGACAGTCACTTTTCTCCTCTGGTAGTATGCATAGCACCTACAAGCATCATGAAAGCTAGCAAACATGAAGGAAACTTTCAGCTACATACCAGGTTGATCCATATTCTGTGATTCAAGGACATTGAATATTCAGCAAAAGGGTCCTATGTTCAAGTTCTAAAGGGTAATCAAAAGAAATGGCAAAAGTCTATAATATTCAGGGGTCCATGGGAACTACAGGATAACTACTCCAAGAGAGGTAGCTATTTCTGGCATTGGGTTGTTGATTTGTTGATGTGATGTCTAGAGGGGGCATTGTACCCTCTTGTATGGTGACTACATTTAAATGCTTTTTTATATGTATATGTTTATATTTTAAGAGACTTATGCAGTAGACTTTTTTAAATTAGTTACTTGAAAGTTTCATACAATGTGCTTTGATCACGTTTGCCTTCTCCCCCAACTCTTCCCAGATCCACCACCCCTTCCTTACCCATCCAGTTTTGTGTCCTCTTTATTGTTTAATGTATTAAGTCTCATGTGTGCTGCCCATTTATTCCTGTACGTGTGGTCCTACACTGGAATGTAGTCAACTTACCAGGGCTTACACTCTAAATGGCAAGTGGCTCTTCTTCTCTCAGCAGCTATCAATTGCCAATAGGGCTTGAACTAGGGTTGGGACTTCTTGCTCACACCTCCCCTCCATGCTGTAATTTTGTCTGGCTTGAGCTTGCACAGGTCTTGTATATGCTGTCAGAACTACTTTGAGTCTATGTGTTCATCTTCCCTGCTGTTCCAGAAGACAGTTTCTTTGTATACAGCCTCTGGCTCTTATTCTCTCTCTTCGGCAAAGATCCCTCAGCCGTGGAAGGAGGGGCATGATGTAGATTTTCATTTAGGGATGTGTGTTTTGCATTTTTTTATTATCTGGAACTCAGGCAGTTGTGCATCTCTGGGTAAGTCAATTTCTACTACAAATAGAAGCTTCATTGTGAGAGTTGAGAGATTTAGTAACCTAGGGGTATAATGATAAATCACTAGAGTTGGTTTAATAATATGTCCATTTAGCACAATAATAATTGCAGATTATCCCATAGGTACTATGGCCTATATAGCCACATATTTTTGACTAAAGTACAGGTTTCATCTTGTAGAGTAGGCTTAAATTCAATCAGAAAGAGATTGTGTACTCCTATGATGTTCCTGCCGTTTTTGTACCAGTGGGCACATCTTACCAGCTCTGTTGTCTGTTGTACCTTCTAGGGTCCACAACTGGGTGAGACTGATGCTGATTTTTCTCCCCTGGTAGTGTACACAGCAATGTCCAGCACTATGAGAGCTATTTAGTTCTGACAGAACTTCTAGGTAAGTACCAGCTTGATATCTACAGGTTCTGACACAAATATAAGATGTCTTCATGAATAATATCTTACCATCAATTTCTGGATGACAACCAATAGAACTGGCATTACTCTGTGATGTGTGTGTGAGGCTTTACTGAACAAAAAAACTCAAAAGAGACAACCTATTCCCATTACTAGAATTGGATTTTTGATTATCCTTTGGTGTCAAGAAAAGTAATTATCATCCCATTATAAGAAAAAAATATATATGTACACATACACACACACACACACACACACACACACACACGCACACACACACACCTTACAGTAGTAGGTTTCCATATAACTTTTCATAAAGTCTTCAGTGTTATTTATCTCTCTCCATATTCTTTCCTATCTCCCATTCCTCAACCTAAATTTACTCTTTCCTGTTCCATTATTCCCCTTAAAATATTTTATGCCATGGCATCCTATATCTAATCCTCTGTCCCCTACAGGCCCTTACTAATTCCATGGCCTCTATGGTTTTTCAATGGTAACTCTGAATACTAAAGATCTTGTGTCCACAATAAAAGCACAGACTCACAGCCCGGTTTAGAAAACAGAATCTGTAACACAAATTGCTAAATGGTCTTATTAATAAAAAAAAAATGGAGCCAGATATTGGGGTGAAAGCTGAAAGATCAGAGAAATAGAACAAGCCAAGCCACAGTTCTTACTGCTGGGAAATCCTCTGCTCAAGAGAGAGCTACTTCCTGTACACTCACGCCTTATATACCCTTCTGTGCCCCGCCATCTTACTTCCTCTCTCTGCCCAGCTACATCACTTCCTCTTTCCACCCAGCTCTATCACTTTCTGTCTGTCTGTTTAGACCTCTATGGTTAACTAGTGCTGGGGTTAAAGGTGTGTACCACCACACCTGGCTCTGTTCCCAGTGTGGCCTTGAATTTACAGATTTCCAAATGAATCTCTGCCTCCCGAATGCTAGATTTAAAGGCATGTGCTATCATTGCCTGACCTCTATGTTTAATATAGTGGCTGGCTTTTTCCTCTAATCCCTAGGCAAGCTTTATTATTATTTTATTTGTTAGAGCACAAATAAAACATCACCACAAGAACTTATTTTTTCTGCCTCTAAGAAATGTACTCTACCATCAGTGATAGACACCACCTCAGGTGAGAGTTTTGAAAAAATGTATCCCAAAAAGAGGAAGCTAGGAACAGACAGATATAGTTGCCCTAATAGCTGAAAAAATAAACTTCAAAGAAAAATTAGTCAGAAGAGATATAGAGGGGGACTTTATCTCCATTAAAGGAAAAGTCATCCACCAACAGGCTATTGCATTCCTAAACATACAGACACCAAACATAAGGCTATCCAGTCTCATAAAAGAAATACTATTGAATCTAAAATCTATTGCCTGAGCCCAATAATAGGTGATTTCAATCCCCCATTTTCATCAATAGACATGACATCCACAAAAAATTCAGAAAGAGAAACTGGAGTAAAATGACATCATAAATTAAATGGTCCTAGCAGACATCTACAGATGTCCACCAAAAACTAAAGAATACAAATTCTTCTCAGCACTCATGGAACGTTCTCTAAAACTCAACACATATTGGGAAACAAAGCAAGTCTCAACAAATGCAGTAAAATTGAAATAATGTCCTTCAATCTATATGACAGCAATTGAATAGTGCTAGAAAGTCACAGTAATGGAAACTACAGAAAGTACACAAATTCATATAAAGGTTGAACAATAATTGAGTTAAAGAAGAAATTAAGAAAGAAAAATTTAAAAACTACAATTGGGTGAAAATGAAAACACAATATGCCAAAGTCTAAGAGACCCAATAAAGACAGTCCTAAGAAGAAAGTTTATAGCAATAATCAACTACGTCAAAACCCTTGAGTGATTGCAAAGTAATAACTTAATGATGCAGCCAAAAGCTTAGGAAAACACGAATAAACAACACTCAAAACAACAAACTAGAAGAGATCATCAGGATTATCTGAAACTAATGAAGTCTGTGCATGTGCATATAACAAATATTAAAGAAAAAAAGGCCATGAATTTGAGAGGGAATAATAAGATGAGTAAGTAGGAAAGGCTTAAGGGGTGAAAGAGAAGGGGGGGAGTTATAATTATATTATTATTTCAAAAGAATATTTAGAAAATCTGCACTTTGCCAAAATGGAAAATCTAAAAGAAATGGAGGAAATTATAGATATTTATGACCTATCAAGGATAAATCAAGTTGAAATAAATAATTTAAATAGACCTATAACTTCCAATGAGACAGAAGCAACAATTAAATGTCTCTAAATTAGAAAAAGCCCAGGGCCAAATGGATTCAATGCAGAATTCTACCAGATCTTATCTCTAAGACTCCTCAAATTACTCTATAAAATAAAAAATGCAGGACTATTTCAGAATACTTTTTATGAAGCCAATGTTACACTGATACTCAAACTAGACAAAGATCCAATAAAAAAAACTACAGTCAAATATCTCTGATGAACCTGAAAGCAAAAATTATCTATAAGATACTTGCAAACTAAATTTAAAAAGGCAATAAAAATCTTATCCACCATGATTCACAGCTGCTTCAACATACAAAGTCAATACAAATAATGCAGCATATAAATAGACTCAAAACAACAGAAACCACATGATGATCTCATTAGATTAAAAAAAAAAACCAGAACGAACAAACAAACAAAAACCTTTGACAAAATATAACTTCCTTTCATGAAACAATTCCTAGAAATACAAGAAATATATCTTAAAAATGCTGATATGTGTGTGCATGTGTGTGTCTATATCTATATATCTATATCTATATCTATATATCTATATATCTATATATATATATATATGCAATATATTGCAAGTTCACAGCCAACATCTAGGTAAATAGGGAAAAACTCAATGCATTTCTTCTAAAATCATGAACAAGACAATGATGTCCACTCTCCCGCTCCTGTTCAATATGATAGTAGAAATCTTAGCTAGAACAAAAAGATCATTAAGGGAGATAATGGAGATACACAGAGCAAAGGAAGAAATCCAAATGTCCTTATTTGCAGATGATATGATTCTATACCAAAAAAAGTCCTAAGGATATCACTAGGTAACTTCTAAAGCTGATAAATGTGTTCAACAAAGTAGCAGAACACAAAATTTATACCCCCAAATCAGTAGCCTTCCCATATACAAATTTCAAGCTGTAATGAGTCTTTCTCTGTCCCACCAGCCAGCTCCCAAATAATAACACAGAGACTTCTTATTAATTATGAAAAGTCAGCCTATAGCTTAGGCTTGTTCCTAACTAGCTCTTATAATTTAAATTAATCCATTTATATTAATCTCTATTCTATCACATGGCATTACCTCTCTTCCATCTTGTAACTCCTGTTCCTTCTCTGTCTCCTGGAGACTCCCAAGTGCCTAGATCCTCCTCCTCTTCCTTTTTCTCCCCGAAAATACTGCCAATACCTCCTCCCTAGCCATTGACCATTCATTTTAAGATTTATTTATTATGCATATGGTGTCCTGCCTGCATGTATCCCTGCAGGCCAGAAGAGGGCACCAGATTTCATTATAGATGGTTGTGAACTACCATGTGGTTGCTGGGTATTGAACTCAGGGCTGCTGAGAACAACCAGTGCTCTTAACCTCTGAGCCATCTCTCCAGCCCTGGCTGTTCATTTTTTTGTTACACCAATCACAGCAATAGATTGTTACATAGTATACAAATATCCCACAACAACAAACACACATAAAGAATCAGGAAAATAATATCATTCACAATAGCCTCACAAATATAAAAGAAAATATCTAAGGCAAATCTAGTCAAATAAATGACAGATTTCTATATTTAATATTTTAAGATTCTGAAAAAATAAATTAGATACTAGAAAATAAAATGATCTCTCATGCTTATGGATTGGAAGAATTAATATTGTGAAAATGACCATCTTACCCAAAGCAGTCTATAGATGTAAAGCAATCCTCATCAATATTCCAATACAACTCTTTACAGATACTGAAAAGATAATTTTAATTTGATATGAAAATAAAACAAAAACAAAAAACAGAATAGCCAAGACAATCCTGACAATTAAAAATAGTGTAGAAGGTATCACCATCCCAGATTTCAAATTATACTCCAGAGCTATAGTAACAAAAGCATCTCAGTGGTGGCATAAAAATAGAATAACATACCAATGGAATAGAATTAAGGCCCCATACATAAACCTACATTACTGCAAATATCTGATTTTTGACAAAGGGGTCAACAATACACATTGGAGAAAAGACAGCATCTTCAACAAGATACACACAGAAGAATGTAACTGGATCCTTATCTCTCACACTGCACAAAACTCAAATCCGAATGGATCAAGGAGTTCAACATAATACCTAACACTCCAAATCAGATAAAGGAATATAGAATATGCTTTATCTCATGGATACATGAAAGGATTTTCTGAAAAGGACTCAGACAGTGAAGGCATTGAAGTCAACAATTAAAAGATGGAACCTCAAATTAAGGAGTTCCCATACAGCAAAGAACACCATCGTTTGAGTGAAAAGGCAATCTACATAATGGGAAAACTATTTACCAGCTATTCATATGACAGAAGGTTAGTCTATGATGTACAAAAAACTCAAAGAACTAAACTGCAAGAAACAAACAACCCATTTTAAAATGGGGCATGGAACTAAAAAGAGTTCTCCAAAGGTGATATACAAATGGCTGAGAAACATTTTTTAAATTGTTTAATATCCTTAGACATCATGGAAATGCAAATTAGAACTACTCTGAGTTTTCATCTTACCTAAGTCAGAATAGCTAAGATCCAATAGAGAAATAAAGACAAATTCTAGGGAGGATATATGGAAAGGGGAACATTTATTCACTGGTAGTGGGAGTGACAACTGGTGTGGTGACTATGAAAATCAATATAGAGC